TGGTGGTTTATTGGGAGATAAGAATTTCATGGACTTTCTTGTCCGGGCCGGCGTTGAACCGAGATCCTCAGATCTCAGCCTCTTGAATAGCTAGGATTACAGGCGTGAGCCACCAGCACCAGCGGGGCCCTACTAATTCTGAGCTTGACAGTCCCCCTTTTGGTTCTGCATAGGTAAAGATTATACAACAAGCAATTCAGATGACCCTTCCTTCCTTCTTGCTAGGCAGACCATCTACCCCTTGATCCATACCCTCTGGTCTTCAGGGGCACTTTCATTTATCAGTACCTATTATAAATACTTCTTGACTACGATGAAGACGTGTTCTGATAAAACCCATCATAAGTTGGAAACACCACTTAACATGCCTAACCCACTCAATACCCTGGCTTATTAACATGTTTCTGTTGAGTGTGGGTAGTTATCTTATTGATTGGGTATGTGACTGGGAGCTATGGCTTATTTTTTTGCTTAGCATTGTGAGGGAGTATCATAGTGCTTGTCACTACCCTAGATCAAAGTATGGTTTCTCCTGAATGTGCATCAGTTTTCAAAAATTATAATTTTTATTAAAAATTAAAAGCTATTATAAAAGAGCTTTCAATTCAACATGTGAGTTTATGAATACAAAGCAGCTTGATCATTCTCCCCCATCTCACCCATCCCTATCCGTGTGTATCACTTTTGTACATCATAAAGTAGAAAAATTGTAAGTCAAAGAGTCCTAAGTCAGGGATTACCTGTATGTATGTGCCTGACATTGACATCCTTTTGTTATACACACTTGAATTTTAGACAGATGATTACTGTGTCTTGATTCTAAGTGAGAAATATTAGAAAGCAAAGTGTGTAACTTTTGGTTAAAGAATTTGTTAGGGCTGGGGTATGACTCAGTAATGAACACTTCCCTAGTATTCCTGAGGTCCTGGATTGTAATCCCAAGAACTGGATGGAAAGGTAGGATAATTTTTTGTAATAATAATTGCAATCCATATTTGTCATCAGGTTGCAAAATTGTATCCAGGGCCCAGATTTATGCAATATACTTTCTTCCCCATTTGTTTAAAGGCCAAGACTGAAATTCTGTTGTGTTGCTTTTTTGATTTAAATTTTGATCTCAAAGAGATTGAATACTCAGTTCATCATGTAAATTTTAGTTGTGTTGGGACAAGTATTTGCCAACTTGGTCCTGGACTATCTAGTGAATTTATCTCTTTTAGTTTGTTGATAATAAAAAATTGTGTTGACGTTTTCAGACCTAAATAGAATAAAATGTGATAATATGTGAAGATCTAATTTAAAGTTCCCAAACCTAACTGTTCACAATACATTTCCTGAAGGAAGTTGGCCAGGTGGAGACAGAAGAATGGGAAAGCACCTATCCCATCTAAAGGTACTTGACATGCAATGCCAGATCTTCTGGTATTAAGAGAAGTTGAATATCTAAATTATTATTGTGAAGTTATTTTCTGATTTTTTTTTTTTAGATTTTTAATGTTGAGACCATTTTGAACTTGAAGAAAAACTGTAAGAATAGTATGAAGATTCCATATAGAGAACCTATTTAAACTCTGCAGTTGTCCTAATGTTCATTCTAACAAAAGGAACAAATCAAGGATTAATGTTATGTTTAGTTGTTAAGTCTCTAAACTCCTTCAGCCTGGAGCAGTTCCTGAGTCTGTGACTTCATGACCTCAGAATTTTTGAAGATTACAGGCCACCTATGTTGCAGATTGTCCCACAGTTTATGTTTGTCTGGATTTTTCTCATGATTAAGGTTAGATTATTCATTTTGGACCACATATCACAGCGGTAATGATAGTTCCTCTCATTGACTTTAATCTGATGGTACTTGTAATGTTTAGTGATGTTTGACCACTTTATTAAATTGGTATCTGTGAGATTTCCCAACTATAAAGCTAACAATTTTGTCTTTCTCTTTGTAATTACTGTTTTATGAGGAGACCACGTAAAGTCTCATTTTTTAATCTCATTTCACTCAACAGTTTTTAGTAACTATTGATATTTTTTTTTGCCTGAAGCAGTTAGTGCAGTGAGAATTGCCAAATGATGATTTTACGAATCCCATCATTCCTTTTACTATTAATTAGTTGACATTTTACTTCAAGGAAAAGCTTTCTTTCCCCCTCATTTATTCAGTTGTTTCTGTCAATATTTCAAAGATTTCTAGTTTATTTAATAGTTCTTTTGCTATCATTTATTTTGGTGCTCCATTTTCTTCAGATGTAGACAGTGGAAACCCTTTTTAGATGTCTTTTGTGCCTCTATGACATGACACATGACTCTTACCATTCTCTGTGCACAAAATGTTTCAGGCCATCTTGTTCTTTCTCTGATCTATCTGTCATTGGAATCAATTGTATCTCCAAGGAGCACTAGTTACTTTGACCAGGGGAACAGTATTTAGAAATCAAGTTTTTGCTGCCAGATGTGTTCATTGTTAAGAGGCTTTGCAAAGCACACACTTGGAAATGTGTATATATTTACATGTACACACAAGCACATTTACATCTTTATTTTTGTATCTTTATGCATTGAAAATTTTTCTTGGTACTTCCAATTCTAGTTCAAAATAACTGAGTGCATTCTAGTTTTTATCCTTTCCATATTTATCTCTTTGCTTCAACAGTGAGATGTCTGTCTCCCATTATCTCCCACATATTATTTACTTAATTCTCTTGTATGTAGCCAATCTCTTGGCCTTATTAGGCCACTTTTCCCACTCAGATGTTCTTCTTGTGTAGGTTTAGACTCAGAGCTATTGCCCTGCTTAGGTAACCTCCTGTACTTCCTGCTTTAGGAATCCCTACCACCTCTGCTCCCCCCTCCCCCCCCCCCCCCCCCCACAGAGGCCACCGAGCTGAAAGAGAAGCATTGATCAAGTGACTCACGTTAAAGGAAAAATAACAAAATCCTTAAACTTTTGTAGGTTAATCAGGTCATAAGAACTTGACAAACAAGTAAGCCAGATCTGAGAGTAGTAAAAGTAGTATCGTCCAGATAAGAGAAAGTGGTGATCAGAGATGATTATGGTCTGTTTAATAATAATTTTAATGAAAACTCATAAAAGCTAACTGAGTTGAGAGGACAGGTACACACACACCCTTAACTTTCTTCTCTATGGCCTCCTACATTGTCCATTTGACTAAATTGAATACAGAGTGCTGTTTATTTGCCCCTTTTGGCACTTTTCCATTAACATTCTTACTGCTTCTACACAGTAGAAGCCCACTCTCACTTAAGAAATCCTGGGCTCAGAATAAAATGCTCCACTGGAAGAAGATGAGGAGGAAGATGATTTGGTAGAGGAATACCTGTCTTTTAAAAAAGGCCCATGCAAATGACAGATGTATTGAATACCAGATCCAGGTCATTCTGGGCTTTTGCCTTGCTTTCTGTTAATCAGGTTAGATCAGATACTCAGTGAGCCTCTTTCTTGAAGCAGCATTTTCCCCTCCTTCAAACTCATTATTTGAAAGAAGAGGATGGTAGGAGGTATATTACTGTGAGGTAACGTCTGGTTGTGGCAGGCAGCCTCTGGGGTCAGCCTGGGCCCCATTTGCATTTCTCTACCTGCTTGGAGAATCACTGTAAGAAGAAGATTGGAATGTAAAGGCTAACTTATGTGATAGCTCTTGGAAGTTTATGGAAAATCCATTATGTAATGCTTATCAAACTCTTGTTCTTCAGCATATATGCCTGGTCAGAATTTCTCTTTGACCACATACTTTTTTCCTGGACTCATGTTTGTTTAGTTTCTTAGTTTTGTTTTTAACTTTTATTTCTCTGTGCTTGTGTGTTTCTGGTACAGGAAATTAGAGAGCAGAGATAGTGAGTGGGTGAGAAAAAATAGAGAATAGGAAAAATTTTAAATGCTGACTTTTAATGTGGTAAAAATTCATGTTGACTTCATAGTCTCGGTTAAGCATATGTAAATAATTGGTAAATCATGTGAAAATAAACTTCTGGCCTTCAGGGTTTTTTTTTTTCTCACACACTTGGATATGCCTCTTGGGGAAAACCACTGTAGGGAAGGGTGATACGGTTCTAGTGGTATGTAAACAGGGGTTGATATTTACCATAGTCATTTGCCTTGAGTGTCTTCTTGTTCATACTGAACATCACTGGAAAGTTTTCTTTTCCTACTTACTTCCTTGACAGGCACATATCTTTTATGCTTTGGTTTTCTTTGACAGTAGTAGTCGAGGATGTCAGATTGCTGCCCTGTTTTCAGTGGGCTCCATGTTTAATCCATCTTTTGCCTTAATTCCAAGTTCAGAAGTTTGTCTCTTATTTTATGCTAGTATTTATGCTGTTTTGTATTGCCTGCCATTGTTGTTCTTTTTAATTGAATATTATGCATCAGTTCTGTTCTTTCTGTAGCTGTGTTTCAAGTGTACAAATTGGTAAGCTTACCTTTGTTTCTTTTTGTTCATTTTCCCCATAGAATGTCACAGTACAGTTACTTTATGGACTCTGAATAGATATTCTTTGATGAGCTAATGCTTATACACATAGTTCCCTAGGTTGTGAATAATTTCATTACCAAGTTTTATGCTTTCTATCACTTTAAGATCCAGTATAAGGGAAGCAGTATCTCATTGTAGTTAACACCTTGGGTTTTAGAGTCCATGTGATCTTGGGCAAGTTACTTAATATTTCTAGGTCATATTTAGATATCATTTATTTTAAAAATTAGATATAGTAAGATCTATTTCATCAAGTTATTTGAAGGATTGAATTAATATGTGCTGCAATAAAACACTTAGAACTACTATACATATAACCCTTAGCATGGAAGTTGGCACTTAGGCACTGAGTATAATTATATATAATATAAAAAATTATATATTATAAATAATATAAGTATTATTTAGATGATGATGTTGGCTTCCTTTGTTGTTATCTTACTGATCGTCAGTTCCAGCCTGTGTTTTTTTAAACCTTGTCCTTGGCATTTAACCTCTGCCTTCCTATAGGTTTGCCACTGTACGATATGACCAAGGAGCAAAGAACATTCGGAATCAGTTCATGCACCTTACAAACTACAGTGTGAATAAGAAGAGTGGAGACTATGTGAGGTACTAGTTGGGAGTAATACTCAAATATGGGTGTTGGAGAGTTGGAAAGTTAACAGGACTCTGGAACATAATGTCTCTCACTTGAGTTATGAGTGACAGTGTAATAGATACTTGGAGCATTTGTGTGTGTGTGTGTGTGTGTGTGTGTGTGTGTGTGTTTGTTTATGTGTGTGTGTGTGTTTATGTGTGTTTATTGGTCCTGGGGCTTGAACTTAGGGCCCTGGCACTGTCCTTGAACTTTTTTGCTTAAGGCTAGTGCTCTGTCACTTAAGCCACACCTCTACTTTCAGCTTTTTGGTGGTTAATTGGAGATAAGAGTCTCACAGACTTTCTTGCCTGGGCTAGCTTTGAACCAATAATCTCAGGTTTCAGCCTCCTGAGTAGCTAGGATTACAGGTGAGGGGCCACCAATACCCAGCAACATACAGAACATTTTAAAAGTCAAGATATGAGATTGTTTCAGTACTTGGAACATATATCAGAAGCTTTGAAGATAGCTGTACCTTTTGACATAGTAGTTCCATTTCTAGGAACTTAACCTTAAGAAATGAAGGATAGATACACAAGATCAGAGATAAGACTTTTTGCCAGTCCTAGGGCTTCAACTCAGGGCCTGGGCACTGTTCCTAAGCTTCTTTTGCTCAAGGCTAGCACTCTTATCACTTGAGCCACAGAGCCACTTTGGGCTTTTTCTGTTTTATGTGGTACTGAGGAATTGAACCTAGGACTTCATTCATGCTAGGCAAATACTTTACCACTAGGCCACATTCTCAGCCCCGAGATAAGACTTAAAATTTTATTTATTTATTTTTATAGTTTTCACTATAAAGATCTTTAACATCTTTAATTCCTAGGTTTGTGGTGGTATTTTTTGTTTTTGTTTGTTTTTTGAGGCTATTGCAAATGGGGTTGATGGCATGCAGAAAGGCTACTGATTTTTGTGGGTTAATAAAGACAAAATTAAGACTTTTTTGGTGTGGTTGGTTGTGGGGTTTAAACTCTGGGCTTGGGTGCTGTCCCTGAGCCTCTTTGTGCTCAAAGCCAGCACTTGCCACAGTACCACTTCTACTTTTCTGGTGGTTAATTGGAGATAAGAGTCTCATGGACTTTCCTGCCCGGGGCTGGCTTTGAAATGTGATCCTCAGATCTCAGCCTCCTGAGTAGCTAGGATTACAGGTGTGAGCTACCGGTGCCTGGCAGAATTAAGACTTTTTATTTAAACTGTATATCGTTAGATGATAAAATATATTATGTGACAATATATGTAACTGAATTTCCTGCTTGAGTATATCAGATATCTTAAGGTAGTTATTTTTTGCTGAGAGAGAAAGAAAATGAATACTTACTGAAATGCTAACTGTGCTTTACTATAGAGATGTGATTGTTAATGGGAGACACTTTTGTTTCTTCTATTTTATGTATTTTCTAAAACAAATACTTAATATGATCAAGTTTGGAAAAAAAGAAAAAAAGAAATGAGGCCATCTCAGAAATCCAGTGAAAGAGAGTACCTTCCCAGCTGTGTGGAAATATTCTTTTTGCTCTATTTTCTTTCATTGCAATAATTTTACAAGAAAGTGGAAAAATAGAAAAGAAACCCAAGCTACTTTCTACTTAGACTAAAAATAGATTCCTAGCAGGTCCAAGGAAAGGAAGAAAATACTCTGGAAATGATAGGATAGTTGCTGACATGGTCTAGGTTTCACTAAATGTCCTGTCATACCCTTTACCTTGGAAGATGAGCATCAGTGTAGTTGGTGGATAGGGTGGGATGGTGGTAAGGACTAAGAAGGCAGTGGCAGAGCACAAATGCCAGAGTTCAGGACTCTAGCATTTCTGGCAGCCCCACTTGCTACTATGTTACTATAGCAGTGGGGGCTTAGTACTCTCATTGTTATTTGAGTGGTGTCTCAGAGAATACAGAAAAAGCTCCATCATTAGAGAGGACCAAGTTTGCTTCACATACCAAAGCAAGTCTGTGTGGGGTTGGTTCATTAACATTACTGTACTAGATTATCTTATTAACGTGTCTCAATTCAATTCTGGTCTGAAAATGAATCTGAGGTAGTTTAGTGGACTCATCATTCATCTCCAAGATTGTATGTATTATCCACATTGCTGGTAAATTATTGTAACGTTCTTACTTTGTGTACATTCTTTCACATACTTCTACTCTTTCATGATGCATGATTGTTTGGTTAAGGAAGAATTATCTTTCTTCTTCTCTGTCCTTTTTAGTAAGGCAAACTATCTACCTGTTAGTCCCCATTTAAGAAATTTGGAGCTGGGAGCCAGACTCTTATCTCCAGTTAACTCCCACAAAACTGGAAGTGGTGCTGTGGCTAAAAGTGGTAGAGCATTACTAGCCTTAAGCGAAAGAGCTCAGGGACAGTGCCCAGGCTCTGAGTTTAAGCCCCAGGACTGACGGGGGTGGGGATGGCACAAAAGCATGAAAACAGAAAGGACCAAGAAAATGTGATTGGGGGCTGGGAATGTGGCTTAGTGGTATAGTACTTGCCTTACATGCATGAAGCCTTGGGTTCAATTCTTATTACTACATAAACAGAAAAAGCTGGAAGTGGCTCTGTGGCTCAAGTGGTAGAGTACTAGCTTTGAGCAAAAGAGGCTCAGGGACAGTGTCAGGCCCTGAGTTCAAGCCCCAGGACTGGTCAAAAAAAAAAATCAGAAAATGTGATTGGGTGCAAGTCAGTGAAATACATATTTTCTAAAAAGTTTGAGGGATTAAGATGTCTTTGTGCAGAATCTTGTTTCTACATCCAGGCCTAGTGGCATATGTGACCGCAGTTCATTAATTCATTGCAGTTGTGATGATCCAGATGTGGAAGATTATGGGAACAAATGGAGCATGAGTGCTATGCTTAGATACCTGAAACAAGAAGGCAGAGATACAACTGGTGCGTACCAGGCCTTTGAACTTCTCAATGTCTCTTCTTTATACAAATTTACTATTGGCTTTTGTCAGGAGTCATCATCTAACTCTGATGATGTTGCTGGGGTAGAGTGGAATGGTTGTTCTTGGTGTAACTTTTTCCTGCAGCTTACAAGATTGGAAACAGGCTTTCCATAGCTCCCCAAATTCTGTTTTTTTCTTTCTAATTTAGAACCTAGTGAGGTCCCTTCTTTAATGTTGAACTGCTAGCTAAATACCATCAACTTTTTATATAATAAATAGCCTATCTCTGTATTGGCTATGAGTTCAGATCCTGATGCTGAGTTAGAGAATGGACGAATAGGCTTAGAATCAGAATGGGCACTGTTGCTCAGCCTTTGTTGCAGAATGGGAAATGGTGTGCAAAAGAAATGTATCTCAGTCCACAGGTGAAAGGGTAGTGGAGAGGAGTGAGAAAGAAAGGAAGACTACTTCTCCATTAAGTCTGCCTATTGTTATAGGCCACCTGTGTGCATCCTCATGCACCCATGCTGAGGGCTCTTATAGAAAGGCCTTTTGAATGAGCACAAATGCTTCTATAATTATACTGTTTCTTGAAATCTCCTATTAATCCATGCATTTTTAGTATTTATTAATATTTATTTCTTTATTGCAGCATTGATGGCCCATGTGGAAGACCTCATCATTAAGACTATAATATCTGCTGAACTAGCTATTGCTACAGCCTGTAAAACCTTTGTTCCTTATCGCAGCAGTTGTTTTGGTAAGGAGCTACAAGAAGCTTGACATGTTTTATAAAGAGGGTCTTGTGAGGTTGGAATGGGATTCTGAGGGTAGAGAGGCTTAGGGATTCAACAGAAGTGAGAGGTATAGAAAGTGTTTTCTTTCTTTTTGAACTCAGGTGGTATGCAGATTCTACTATGAGATAGGAGGTTAACTTAGAAGTCCCTTGAGGAGTAACTAGCTTTCTGGGTGGGAAACAGGATTGGAACTGAAGTGTGGGTCTCTCTGTCAGAGTGCAGTCAGAAAAAGTCTGCAGTGGACTGTACAGGAATCCATCTCTAACTAATGTATTCCAGAGCCCTTTGGCAGCCAGACTGGGAACTGGTCCAGGAAGCTCTGGCTGGTACCAGTATGTACTTTCTCCCATTTTCCGATGACTCCTCCTTTTTGTTTTAGTTGGTTCCTTCTCCCACTCTTCCTCCTCTTCCTCCTCTTTTTCTTCCTCCTCCTCCTCCTCCTCTTATCCTTTTCCTTTTTCCTTCTGTTTTACACAACCTTCTGATTGCAAAGAAAAGGGATAACAGAATTCCCACGTCAGCATCAGGAAACCTGTTATTTACTGGCCCAGTAGCTATGACTGAGGCCCTCGGGGTACCTAGGTATTTGCTTTCTATGTGGGAAGGAGCTTCTTGGTAATTGCCAGCATGGATGTCTATAAGGTCAATAGACTTTCAGCAGGCATTAGGCCTTAGTAGTAAAACACAGTACAGTCGTTGGTAGGAAGGTAAGATCAAAGCATGGTGTGAAGTAATGCAAGTAGTAAGGATCAGAGGGGCACAGCTTGCTTTAGGAGACAGGATAGCAGGAAAGTAAAGAACATGGGCTCGAATTTCACAGCACTAATTTGAAATCCATTTGCACCCCTCACTAGTTTGGTGATTTCAACAAGCTCCTCTAACCCTGTCTCTCAACTCTCAAGTGGCAGCAGTGATGATATTTACTCCTAAGAGTACCACAAAGATCAAATGTGATGATGCGCGAAAAGTACTTGGCACAGTGTATGTCCCTTAAGCTATACTCAATAGAAATTATTTAATTATTTTTATAATTAAACATAGTTCTTGACCTCATTAATGAATTATAATAGTCTGTACTTAAGCGGCACTAAAGTAAGGAACTGTCAAAACCCTGAAATAGAAGATATAGATAAATCAGGACCTAAAATTGCACAGGAAAAGGAGAGATTGTATTATCATAAAATGCATATGAAGATGTTCATGTCTTTTTAGATCCTTAAATGGCTTCCTATACTTAAATGATCTATATATGATAGGACTTTCAAGGCTTCTGTGATCTGACCCCAGCTGACTTTCCTAGGATTCCATTTCCCTACGTAAACTATCTAGTCCAGCTATTCCATGGCTATACCTTGGAACATGTGTTTGTGTTTAAGAGAATATCTGAGTTCCACTACCTATCTAGAAAATGCTCCTATCTACTGGCAGACTATTCCTTCTTTCCTTTCCTCCCTTTCCCCTTTTCCCTCCCCCCTCCCCTCCTCTCCCATCCTTCCCCTCCCCTCTTCTCCTCTCCTCTCCTTTCCTCTCTCCCTTGTCCTTTTCCCCTCGGTACTCCCCTCCCCTCCCTTTCTCTCTACTCCCTTCCCCTCCCTCTCCTTTTTTGCATTGCTGAGGACCATACAGGGCCTGGAATTTGCTGGGCAAATGTTCTTCTACTGAACTAAGTCCCAACCCCTCTCATTTCTTTCTTAAGAGTCTGTTCCATACTTCCTTCTCTTGGAAGCCTTGGTATCCTTATGTGACCAGCCCCCATGCTGTTCTATGCTTGTTGTTTCATAGTTTTGTTTTTTTTTCTATTTTATGCTGGTGTTTTATTTACACAAACTTCTCCAGCTTCTTCTTGATTTTTTTTTTGGGGGGGGGGTCCGGTCGTGAGCCTGAACCTCTGGGCCTGGGCACTGTCCCTCAGCTCTTCAGCTCAAGGCTAGTGCTCTACCACTTGAGCCACAGTGCCACTTCTGCCTTTTTTTTTTTCTTCTGCCTATGTGGTACTGAGGAATCAAACCCAGAGCCTCATGCATACAAGGCAAGTGCTCTACCACTGAGCCAGCTTCCCAGCCCCTTCTTGATTTTTTTTACAAGAAAAATCTTGTAGTTTTTGGAGGAGGGGAAGTATTGCAGTTTTTTCAGGACCTTGCATTTGCTAGGCAAGCAGTTTGTCACTTGATCCACATCTCTAGACTTTTTTGCTTTATTTTTCATACTTTTTGTCCAATTGGCCTCTGACTGCTATTTTTCCCTCTTCACCTCCCAAGTAGCTGGGATTACAGGCATTAGCCATCATACTTTTGAATTCTTAAGTTACCGTGACTCCCTTCTCATCTTGTCCTATTCTTCCTCCTCTATGTGGTGGTTACTTGAGTTTTGAACTTAGAATCCCATTTTTGCTAGGTAAGTGCTCTACCATTTGAGCTACTATCATAGTCCTTTTTACTTTAATTTACTTTTTAGTGAGATCTTGCATTTTTACCCGGGGCTTCCCTCTAATCAATATCCTCCTACCTCTGCCTAACGCCTAGTTTGGATTACAGAAGCATGCCATGCACCCAGCTTGTTTTTTGGAGATAGGATCTCACTAGCTTTTTGTCTGGGCTGGCCTTAAACTGCGTTCCTTCTGTCTGTGCCTCCCATGTAGCTAGGGCTACAAATGCTATCTAATACACTTAGCCCCCATCTCATCCTATTTGTCAAGCCAAACCTGTGAAAGGTTTGTAATGCTTTGTCCTTACTTTCTTTATTCTACACCTGGACTGCCTCACTGTGTTATATTACCTAGTAATGTAATCACTCACATCCTTCAAGTATCATTTCTCTGGTGGCCTTTTTACTAACTCCTCAAGGTTAGACTCTCACTCTTTTAACCCACGTGCTGTTCATAACTCTTCAGAAGTACCCATGTGTCACCAGGCACCCATTTAAATGTCTGTCTCTCTTAACAGACTGGCAAACTCCTGAGGAAAGTCGCAGTGTCTCTTTTGTTTTTGCACTCTGGTAAAGAGTAGTGTCTTCTGCTCTTAGAGAAAATCTGGCAATGTCAAATGAATGATTGGTGCTTGCTTTTATTACATTTTTTTGTGTGTGGCCTGACAGTAGGCTTCCCAGTGCATCTGATTTGGTAAGAACCCAGGACCTCAAAGGTGGGGTTGGGGGTATAGGAATATAACTCCAACCTCAAACTTTATTCAATTAGAATAATAAATAAAAATTTATTTTCTACATCTGTTTGACTCTCCTTTGTTGCTAAATTTCTTATAGTACTCCTTATAAAGATATTTCCTGTTGCCTGCCCTCCCTTCGCCCTTCCATTTCACCTTGCTTTCCTTCCTTCTTTTTCTTTTCTTGCTTTCTCTGTCTCTCTCTGTCTCTCTGTCTCTCTCTCTTGTACACTTTTTTTTTTGGTCAGAACTAGTGATTGAAATGACAGCCTCGAGCTTGCTAGGCAGATGATCTAAAAGTCTTTTCTCTGAGTAGTTAATCATGAGAGCTTTTCTGAATGTTTCCTTATCTTGTTTTATTACCTTCTTGCCTTTTGGAAAACTTAGGAACTTCATGGCAACAGAATTTTGTACTTTATTTTTGTGGTTCCGAGGATATAACCCAGGACTTCACTCAGGCTAGACAGGCTGTCTATCACTGAGCTGTATCCACATACTGCAACAGAACTTTTTGATGTGAAAGAATCACAGTGACTTTCTGTGACTCAGTGAAAATACCCAAGTCCATTTGCTCCACATGCCCTCCTCTCCCCTTCCCTACTTAGGTTCAGATTCAGTAAACTGAGTGCATGTGAGGTTTGTTAAATTGCTGACAGTCTTCTTGGCTTTTGTGGTTCTAATTCCACTTCCCGTAAGCCCTAGGAGCTTGTGTGTTAAATTCACCTCCCCCATTAGGGTATTTGTATTTGTGGTTATATTTATGTGAATCTTTTGACTCTTAGCCTCTTCTAGGATTTTAATTACAAGGAATAAGTGTGTATGCGCACGCCCACACAGACACACACACACAGACACACACACACACATGCACATACATGATAAATAGGCATTGAGAGTTTCCCAGGAAGTTTTGGCTTAAAGAAATCTTTGGTGCTGTTGGAGGGGGAAACAGAGAATGCACAGTTAGTTTTCATTTTACTGTTTTGTTGATGGCCTTCTACTTTTGGGATTGCTACTAGGAGTATTCCATTACTATCTGAGAATTTCTATCTTGTGGCTCTTTCTCATTCTACCACCTATGGTGTCCAACCAGGTACCTTCAATATTCCTTGTTAATCCCTGGATGCATTTAACTTTCTTCCAGTTCCTGCTATGTATAAGGTGAAAATTAGTCTTACAGCAGTACATTACTGTCAGCAATTTGTGATGGTCATACATATACCTGCATTGCATACTGAGTATTAATACATAGACTTTTGGACCGTCACAGACTGTGAAACTTAGCCATGTAATGCTATTTTTGTGGAAAGACTTTAGAAAATAATTAGTCCAGAAATGCAGAAATGAAGACTTTGAGAAATTAACTCTTGCTCTAGTTTAAGTGCTAGTCAGTGAAAGCACTGGAACGAAAGAGACTTGTCCTGGAGAATGGCTGCTTCAGATGAGTCTTAGACTCTCATCAACTTGATCATAAAACTTCAGTTATTCAAGTTTTGATAGCTCTCTCAATAAAACAGTTTTTTTTGGGGGGGGGTCATGGGGCTTGAACTCTGGGCCTGGGCGCTGTCTCTCAGCTTTTTAGCTCAAGGCTAGCATTCTACCACTTGAGCCACAGTACCACCTCTATTTTCCTGAGTGGTTTATTGGAGATAAGAGTCTTACAGACATTCCTTGCTCAGGCTGGCTTTGAACCAGATTCTCAGATCTCAGCCTCCTGAGTAGCTAGGATTACAGGTATGAGCCACTAGCACCCGGCTCAATAAAACAGATTTTTTTTTTGTCTGTCATGGGGCTTGAACTCTGGG